TGTGGAGGCTGTGGTTCTTGTGGCTGCTGTCAGTCCAGCTGCTGTAAGCCCAGCTGCTGCCAGTTCAGCTGCTGCAAACCTTGCTGTTGTTCTTCAGGCTGTGGACAATCCTGCTGTCAGTCCAGCTCCTGCAAGCCCAGCTGCTGCTCCTCAGGCTGTGGACAATCCTGCTGTCAGTCTAGCTGCTGCAAGCCTAGCTGCTGTGTCCCCATTTGCTGCCAGTGCAAGATCTAAAGCTCTGGCCACAGACCACAGTGGCTCCAGTACATGTGGGTCCCCTTGGTCATGCCCAGTGCCCACTCTAGATCCTGAAGAACAAATCCTTGTCGACCTTCCTCAGGAAAAGCATCACCTGAGACTTGGGGCTGACAGTCTCAACTCACTAGACCTTGATAGAGACTAAGAGCCACCTCATGTGCTTTAACCCATCTTGGAATCACCTACCCACTCACCTTCCAGAAGACTCTCCCTCTTGCCTGCACACTTCTCATCTACAGCCTCATCGAGGGTCTGAGCCTTAAGACACCCATACCTGCCCTATGAACTCTGTGCCCTAGAATAGCACTGTTAGCACCAGATACCTGCTGTTCCCCCTGCCCTACCACTCGCTTTTCTCTCCTCCTCCACCTGTAGCATCTGAGATGCAGCTAGTGTCAGGTTCATGGACACCCCTGGGGGTGGCCCAGATCTCCAAACCATTTTTCCTCTTCCCTGAGCCTTCTTTCCTAACACCTGCTCACTCTGATTCTCTGTCCACCAAGGTCTACTCTAGACCCTGAAGAGCCTCTAAATAAACGCATTCTCTAACCACAAGCCTTGTTCTCCCTATGAGTGTTCTCTCACTATCTTTTGTTGATGAAAAAACTGTCAAAAAATTTGTGTGAGTGGAATCTGATGAAGTTTTACAATATTTACCAATGTAAACTTGTATATACTTTTACCCAGACACACCTTCTCAGAAATTGTCCTAGGTAATGAATCCTGCTTATTCTCAGAAACTTGTGGATAAGCCTGTTTATCACATCATTATTTAAAAGAGGAAGAATTTCAGAGCTAAAGGAGAATGAAGAACACCGAAGACACAAGGAAAGTATTCACCCAAGAGACGGAAAGGGCCACATAGACCAGAGCCTTCATCAGCCTGAGACCAGAAGAACTAGATGGTGCCCGGCTACCACCAATGACCGCCCTGCCAGGGAACAAAACAGACAGCCCCTGACGGAGCAGGAGAAAAGTGGGGTGCAGAATTCAAATTCTAGTAAAAAGACCAGACTTAATGGTTTGATTGAGACTGGAGGGACCGTGGAAGACATGACCCCTGGACTCTCTGTTAGCCCAGAACTAAAACCATTCCCAAGGAAACTCTTCAGACAAAGATTAGATTGGACTGTGGGACATAACATGATATTCGTGAAGAGCGTGCTCCTTAGCTCAAGTAGATACACGAGACTAAATGGGAAGCTTCTGTCTGGAAGTGAGATGAGAAGGCATAGAAGGTCAGGAGCTGGTTGAATGGACACAGGTAATCCAGGGTGGAAAGGAGGAGTGTGCTGTCACAGTATTGGGAAAGCACCTAGGGTCACATAACAACGTGTGTATAAATTTTTGTATGAGAGACTAACTTGAATTGTAAACTTTCACTTAAAGTACAACAACAACAAAAAAAAAAAGAATTTCAGAGCTAGGTAGAGCAAGTGTAACTTGGTTACGTGAAAATCATACATTGATAGAGTTGACACTAGGCAGTGATGACAAACACCTCTATCTTCTTTATAACCTGAAAAGATGGATTTTTTATTAGCGAGGGCCATGTCCAACACAGTCTTTCTCAGCTTCTGAATGCCTTGATTCACACCAGTCTCATACTTCCCTCTCTCCTTATCTGCCTATGGTTCTCGAACTCTCCATCTGACAGTCTACACTGCCTCTCTTTCTCCATTCCCACCCATGTTTTCTTGAGAAAGACTGTGATTGGCCCAGCTAAGGGCTGCTCTCCTTCCAGGCCAACCAGCTGTGGCCAGATGGCAGAGTCACATATAACACCATCATGGTAGCTCCCATGACAACAACCAAGATGCTGATGGGGGGGGCCGTTTTCAGAACTCTGGGAATCCAAAACAATGCGAAGGATAATATATGGTTCTTTCCCTTTAGGAGTCCATCACAGAAACATGGAGGTCTGGGATCGTGAATCCACCATAGCTCTCCATCTCATCCCAAACATTTAAGGAAGAAATAACACCGATAGTAATCAATTCCTCCAGACAATAATAACAGGGGAAAGACTTCCCAACTCACTTTAGAAGCAGCATAATCTTGACATCAAAAACTGATGAGGACGTTACGAGAAATAAATTTCTGTAGCCAATCTCTCTCCTAGATATAAAATTCCTAGACAAATTACTAGCAAATAGAATCTAGCACTATAACAAGACAAAGTTAGGTTTATTCAGGAAACCAAGGTTAGTCTAGCATTTAAAAATCAATCAAGGTAATTCACCACAAAGAAGCCCTGGTGGCACAACACTTAAGTGGTGGGCTACTAACCAAAAGTTGGGCTGTTTGAACCCATCCAGTGGCTCTGCAAGAGAAAGACTTGGTGATCTGCACCCATAAACATTACAGCCCAGAAAACCCTGTGGGATAGTTCTACTCTGTCACATGGGGTCGCTATGAGTCAAAAATCAACTTGAAAGCACCTAACAACAACAGCAATTCACCACAACAGTAGAAAAAGGAGAAAAGATTATATGGTGATTGCAGAAAACTTTCCCTCTGAGACTAGGAACCAGATAAGAATGCCTACTGTCCATTTCCATTTAACATTGTTCCTAGCCAGTACAAGAGGACAAGAAAAATAAAAAGAAGGCTCAAAAAGAAACAAAACCATCATTATTTAAAAACATAACTGTGTATGTAGAAGATCTAAAATAATCTACAAGTAAATTGTTAGAAGTAATAAGTGAATTTAGCAATCTTGCTGGTCTTGCAGGTCAATATCCAAAGAAAAAATCTTTAAAGCAGAGATAAACAGAAAATTAAATTTTTAAAAGATATCTACAATAACATAAAAAATAACAAAGTTCTAAATAAAAATACATATGTGATAGTTCTCCATAAAGAAAATTATAAAGCACTATTGAGAGAAGTTAAAGACCTAAGTAGATGAAAGGATATACTATATTCATAGATTGGAAAACTCGGTATTGTAAAGATGACAATTTTCTTCAAATAGATCTATAAATTCAAAACATTCCCAATCAAACTGCAACAACTTTTTGTGTAAATATTGACCAGCTGATTCTATAATTTATATGGAAATACAAAGGGACAAGAAAACAAGATACTCTTAAGAAGAACAAGGTGAGAACATTTGCTGTACCCAATTGCAAGATTTAATATAAAGCTACACTTATTAAGACAATGCAGGTATTGACATAATGATAGAAAAGTAGGCCCATGGAAGAGAACAGATATCCCAGAAACTGACCCATACATATCTGGATACTTGATTTATGGCAAAAGTGGCACTGAAGAGCATTGGGGAATGACAGTCTTTTCAAAAAAATGATCCTGGCTCCATGGGTAATTCACATAGAAAACCTGAACCTATACTTCACATCATACACAAAAATCAATTCCAAGTGGAGTGTAGATCTGAATACAAAATGTGCAACAAAAGAGCTGCCAAGTGGTAAAATAAAAGAATATGTTCATGACTCGGGAGTAAAAGAAAGACTTCTTACACAGAATATAATGTAACATTCACCCTGAAAGAAAAGATTGATAAGTTGACTGCATTAAAACTACAAACGTTTGTCAAAAGACACCATTAAGAGAATTAAATGACAAACCACAGAGCAGACAATATTTGCAATACATTTAACCAACAATGCTCAATATCAGCAGTCAGAACAAAGACGGGGTCAACTGCAGAAGAAACCGTCAGTTGCTCATATGCAAGTTCAAGTTGAAGCTGAAGAAAAAATTAGAACAAGTCCACAAGAGGCAAAGTACAACCTTGAGTACCTCCCACTTCAATTTAGAGACCATCTCAAGAATAGATTTGATGCATTGAACCTTAATGACTGAAGACCAGACCAGTTGTGGAATGACATCAAGGACATCATACATGAAGAAAGCAAAAGGTCATTCAAAAGACAGGAAAGAAAGAAAAGACCAAAATGGATGTCAGAAGAGACTCTGAAACTTGCTCTTGAAAGGAGAGTAGCTAGAGCAAATGAAAGAGATAATGAAGCAAAAGAGCTGAACAGAAGATTTCAAAGGACAGCTCAAGAGGACGAAGTAAAGCATTATAATGAAACGTGCAAAGACCAGGAGTTGGAACACCAAAAGGGAAGAACATGCTCAGCATTTCTCAAGCTTAAGGAACTGAAGAAAAAATTCAAGCCTCGAGTTGCAAAATTGAAGAATTCTATGGGGAAAATATGAAACAACACAGAAAGCATCAAAAGAAGATGGAAAGAATACGCACAGTCACCAAAAAGAATTGGTCAATGTTCAACCATTTCAGGAGGTAGCATATAATTGAGAACTGATGATTCTGAAGGAAGAAGTCCAAGCTGCACTGAAGGCATAGGTGAAAAACAAGGCTCCAGAAATTGATGGAATACACATTGAGATGTTTCAATAAATGAATGCAACACTGGAAGTGCTCACTTGACTATGCCAAGACATTTGGAAGAGAGCTACCTCGCCAACCAACTGGAACAAATTAATATACATGCCCATTCCAAAGAAAGGTGACCCAACTGAATGTGGAAATCATTGAACAATATCATTAATATCATATGCAAGTAAAATTTTACTGAAGCTAATTCAAAAATGGTTGCAGCAGTACATCGACAGGGAACTGCCAGAAATGCAGACCATTGCTGATGTCAGATGGATCTTGGTGGAAAGCAGAAAATAACAGAAAGATGTTTACCTGTGTTTTATTGACTACACAAAAGCATTCAGCTGTGTGGATTGTAAGAAATTATGGATAAGATTGTGAAGAATGGGAATTCCAGAATACTTATTTGTTCTCACAAGGAACCTGTACATAGATCAAGAGGCAGTCGTTCGAACAGAAGAAGGAGATAATGGGTGGTTTAAAATCAGAAAAGGTGTGAGTCAGGGTTGTATCCTTTCATCATGCTTATTCAATCTGTATGTTAAGCAAATAATCCGAGAAGCTGGACTATATGAAGAAGAACAGGGCACCAGGATTG